AGACCAGATAGTCGTGACCTCGAACCAAAAGCAGAATTGCATCATGAGTTTCACCAAATAAGAGCACACCAAAAGCTCATAATAGACAATGCTCGAATAGTCTCATCATCATCATCAACGAAGAACCAATGTTGATATCCTATCTGGCGCTCGGCGCCCAGACTACAGATGGCAGATCCCATCTAGCCTACTCTACAATGCCGCTGATGACGTCAACAGCTCCCGAAGTACGAGCAGATCTCGACCAATGCCGCACGCTTCAAGCACCAGGTATGTCTCTCGTATCACTCACAACCTCGTTCCCCAACTCACAGATGACACTTGCACCGAAGGACCACCATGCGCCCATCCAGCATACAGCAGCGCAGCTCGGCTATGGCTGCCTGCTCCTTCCAGCTCGCTTGTGAGCTCGTGAGCCTCGCAAGTGATAACGCAGCAGCGCTTGCGCATAAAGCAGCTAGTGCCCGAATGTCCAATGCGTAGGCAGGCCCTTCCCTATATCGAAGTGGCCTGCGGCTGCGTGCTGTGCTGCGGTCCTGGGCCCCGGTCCAGAAGCTTCCAGTAGGCCCAGGGATGCTGAGCCTCAAACTGAAGTCAACAGGCCCAGCGCCTGTGGTGGTTACCAGCACCCAACTGCCCTCAGCCTTTGTTCGGTCCACTTTGTGTATCTGGCCCAAGGCCTGCCTCTGTTACATGCAATGCAAGGCAGCCTGGGCCTGGGCGCTTCCAACCGACTGGCACTGCGCAACTGCCTGAATTTCCCCCGTTGCATAGTAGTCCAAAATAGGCCTCTTGAGGTTTGTCGAGCCTGCCTTCACTTAGGGCGGCCGACGCTTGTTGCAAATAGGGGCCCAGTAGGCCTTATCGAGGCCTTGTGCCTCGCATTCCCTCCTCCATACTTCGCTAGTCCTCTGAGAAGTTCAGTCTTCGATAATCTGGCGCTTTCCCTTCTGCAAAGACTTCTCATAGTGAGCGACTACCTGTGGAGCGGTCTGCATCAGTTCCTCTCTTGTAAACCGTCTATCCTCCTTTGGATCAGTGTGATGTCTGAACCGAACTCGATACTGCAGCTTCGGTTTCGGAGTCCTCTGCCTGTTGGTCTTGGAACCGGCATCTCCCTGTGATCAACAATGTCGTCGATGTCGACCTCTCCATCCATGGTTGGGGGCAACATTGAACGACGAGAGGGAAACTGATCTGTTTCTCCAAAAGGTGCAAGCTTTGAGGCGTGGAAAATAGGGTAAGTGCGTAAGTGACCAGGGATACGAATAACATAAGATGGTCCATCTGGTTCATTCCCCACAACATCTAGAATCTCCCAGGGTCCAAAGTACTGTGGCATGAGTTTACAGGAAATCCCGTATTCCTGTCCGAGTTCTGAGGACTTAACCGAGACTCTTTCTCCTACCTGGAATGTAGATGGGCGTCGGTGTTTGTTCTCAGACTCTATCATCGCCGCCTGTGCTTTGTGCATTTGTTCGACTGCCTGTTGCATCAGTTGCTCATATCGATAAGCAAAATCCAAGGTCCCTGGTGCAGCAGCTGACTGATTCTAAGGCAGTACGAAGTCCAAGGGCAGTCTAGGCTTGAAAGTCAGTAGCAGGCTGTTCGGGCTTACTCCCGTAGCGCTGTGCACAACGTTGTTGTACAGGCTGGCGATGAGAGCGAGCTTCTCATCCCAGTCTACCTGATTCGGCTTGATGTAATGCCTCAGCAGGTGTTGTACAACGCGGTTCAATTGCTCTGCCTGCCCATTTGCTTCTGGATGATTGCCTGATGTCATTTGCAACTGCATGCCCTGTTCTGCAGTTGCAACTTTCCACAGTTCACTAGTGAATCGCACATCCCGGTCACTAATGATAGACTTAGGCAGTCTGAAATCTTTGACCCAGTTTTCTTTGAACAACTCGATGACGTACTCAGTCTTTGCTGTTTCCGGCATTGCAACTAATCTAGCGTACTTACTAAACCTATCCACAATGACATAGACGTAACGCATTCGACTCTTGTTGGTGACCAGCGTATCCATGAAGTCCATGGACAGGCTTTCACAAGGCCTTTCCGGAATCGAAAGGGGCTTCAAAAGCCCAAGAGGAGCCTTTGTACGTGGCTTGTCCCTCTGACAGACTTGACAAGTTTCCACGTATAGCTTCGTGTCTCTCATCATCGTGGGCCACCAGAACCACTGCGACAAATTGGCTGCAGTCTTCTTGAAACCAAAATGGCCGGTGGCGTCATGACACTCTCCTAAAAATAAACTGTGCAAAGACTCTCTATTAGGCACACACAAACGTTTATTCCTAGCCTTCTCAAGGAACAGCAAGTCGTTGACCAACTCAAACTCGGCAGAAGTCACTTTGTCCTTCGCCTCGAGTCTGCGAATGATCTCAGACATAAACGGATCCTCGCGATAGGCTTCCACCATAGAACGAGTGACATCGTCCACAAGCCTGAACTCAGTGATCAGCGCACCAGAGAAATATGGTCTACGCGACAAAGCATCAGCAACCTTGTTGTACTCGCCCTTGATGTACTGGGGCTCGAAGTCATACTGCTCTATGACTTCAATCCAACGCTTCAGAGCGTCGGAGAGCACAGGCTGGGTTCTCATCCACTTCAAGGTCTGATGATCAGTCCTGACGTAGAACCTCCCAAGGAGATAGTGTCTCCAATGAGTGAGCGCTTTGTAGATCACATAGAGTTCCTTCTCAAAGGTGGACTTAGCCCACTTTTGAGAGGGCATCTTTTTGGACATGTANGCTTTGTAGATCACATAGAGTTCCTTCTCAAAGGTGGACTTAGCCCACTTTTGAGAGGGCATCTTTTTGGACATGTACTCTACGGGCCTCAACTTCTTCCCCTCCTGATGCGCAAGCACGGCGCCTATGCCATATTGTTTAGCATCCGTAGTTACTACGAAAGGTTTGTCAGGATCAGGGAGTTTCAAGACCTCATGGTGTGTCAACGCATGTTTCAATTGTCTGAAAGCAGCCTCGCACCTGTCTGTCCACTCCCATGGGGTGTCAAGGCGAGTCAGGTCCGTCAAAGGGGCGGCCACTATGCTGTAATTCTGAACAAAATTGTGGTAGTAGCATGTCATCCCTAAGAAGGACCTCATCTCAGTTACAGACTGAGGCCACGGCCAGTCACGAATGCTGGCCACCTTCGCGTCATCGGGCTTCAATCCCTCCGCGGAAATCTCATGACTCAAGTACAAGACACGAGTGCGGCCAAACTCGCACTTCTCACCGTTGATCTTGAACTTGTGCTGTCGAAGAAGGCTAAGGACTTTGTCCAAGTGCGCAACGTGCTCCTCAACAGTCTTACTAAAAATAAGTATGTCATCGAGGTACGCGATGACAAACTTATCTAAGTAGTCATGAAATATCCGATTCATAGCGTGCTGAAAGGTGCCAGGAGCATTGCGAAGGCCGAAAGGCATCACCACAAACTTGTACAGATCGTACCTGGTCTGAAATGCGGTTTTGTGTTGATCCTTGGGCCGGATTGCAATCTAATGGTACCCAGACTTCAGATCTATGTTACTGAAGTACCGACACCCTTGCACTCTATCTAGCAAGTCATCGATGCGTGGTAGGGGCTCTCTATTCTTGACAGTGATGGCCTGGAGGCCCCTATAGTCAATGCACATCCTAAGTGTTCCTTCCTTCTTCGGTACGAATAGGATTGGTGATCCATAAGGAGAAACACTCAGCCGGATCCAACCCTTTTCTACGAGTTCCTTGAGTTGTCGGCGAAGCTCATCAAGCTCGCCTGGAGACATCCAACAGATCCTACCCCTTGGAATGCTAGACCCTGGGATAATCTCTATCGCGTGGACGACCTCCCTCTCAACAACCCCTGTAGGCTCTTCAAATAGATCAGGGTACTTGGCAACTACTCCCTCTATCTCTGGCGACATTTTCACCGGCTCGCCTGCTGCAGAGACATAAACTAGATACATACCCTCCTCTGGATTTTGCTGATAATAGTTATAGAACGCGGCCGCACACATGCACCGTGGGACTCAATCAGACTACTAGCTTAGAACTTACGTAATCTGGCGGTCCCTCCACCTGGCAAAGTGTGTTTGACCACTTTTCGGTCCCAGTCAAACTGGGGCTGTGCCACGGAGAGGTAGTACATACCTAACAAGATATCCATAGGGAGATCATCGATCACTAGGAACGAGACGCGATGTCTCAATTCCCCATACCTAACAAGATATCCATAGGGAGATCATCGATCACTAGGAACGAGACGTGATGTCTCAATTCCCCTCCTGCGTACGGGAAACAACACTCAACATCTTGGAGGTAGTCGTTGACTACCATGCGCTGTTTGTTGGCATAGGTCGACTTAGGCGCTGCACTCGCCCCTGTAAGCGCAACCTCTCAACGCACGTGCGACTAATGAAGTTCATAGTCGAGCAAGTGTCATAATAGGCCCCGGCCTTGCGGCCGCCGATGACTACCTCGCCGACGAATATCTCTCCCTTAGGGGCTTTGGCCAATGCCGTCCAAGAAGCTAGTGGGTCTGATCTAGACCACTCCTCCTCTAACTCCTCTAAGAATTCAAACACATTCATCGTCCAGAGGCTCGATGGGTTAGAATGTGTTTGCGGGACGACTATGGAGTCAGTAGCTTGGGCCATCTCTCGAGATGGTGAGGGTGTGTCCACCACCTCGACCCTAGCAGGAACAACTACCATTCCTACTAGCTCGACGCGTTTCCCGGAGCAGTGTCAGAACTGCTGGCCACATTGCAACCAACGGGAGCGGAGGATCCCAATGCCTGCCCCATCGTACGCGGGATCTTTTCGGTCACCTTCTTATTGCGGCACTTGAATCGGTTGTGGCCATATTGGCCACAACAAATACGGGCCTACCTGGTGTACTTGTCTTTTCACATGTCCTCAGTGAGACCCACTTTCTCCCATGGAGGAGCATTGGAGTCAACTTGACTCCTAGATCGGGAACCTCCATGGCGTCTACCGGTCGCCTTACCTTTCTGTGGTATGGCAACGGCTACTCCACCCCCTGAAGCCTCTACGCTGCCAACCTCTGAACCTACTCCCGCCTGGAACTTGTCGTCCAACTTGATGGTTGAACCATCGTTGTCACCAAGATGGTTGGGTCGGGGGCAGCGGAGGAGGAAGCTCCGCCGTGGCCACCCTGTCGGAGGACGGGGGACCCGGACTGGGAGCCAGGAGATGAAGGGCAGGCAGTGTCCTGGAGTTGCTGCATGCCGGCGGCAAGGGTCGCCACCTGCGCCTGTAAGGGCGCGAGGATCGCGAGAGTTGTGCCTGAATGGGTGCGAGGAGGGAGGTGATGAGGGTGTGCAGATCCCCCTGGGGCTGATGGYCCTGGTCCGCCGGCACGGGTGTGGAGCCCGATGCCGTGGTCGTTGCCGCGTCAGAGGCGTGTGACACACTGTCGGCCATGGGGAGGTGACGGGCCGGACTGGAGGGGCCCAGAAGAGGTCCGCGTGAGTGGAGGGCGTAGGGGGGGGGTCCGCGGTAGAAAGCGGCGGACGACACTAGCAAGGCTAGCGCGGGCGCCGTCAAAGGGGGAGGGGTGGTTCGGGTCCACGGTGCCCGAAGAGGAAGGGGAAGTAGGGGGGTTTTGAAGAACCCTAAACCCTAGAAAACCCCTAAGAAAACCTTAACCGAAGTTTAAGTGGTTAGGGTAAGGTACCGGAGACCTAATCAAGAAAATAAAATAGCAAGCATAGGGGGGGGAGGCGGGAGAAAAATAAATAAGCAGCGAGATTTCAAGAGAGAAACAAAAGGAAATAAATAATAAAAATAATTAAGAGAAGAATTAAACAAAAATGTGAAAAGAAAAATAATATTTATTTTTTTGAAATTCTCGGCAGCATTTCCCTACTCCCCATGGGGTCAAGAATGTGCCAAGGGGAAAGGAGAGACCGAGATAAACACACTAGGTTTCAAACTGCCGCAATTTAAAAAAAAAATCAAAAAATAAATAGAGAAATAATAAATAAATAGATAAATAAATAAATAAGTAAATAAGTGGGTGCTCAGGTGGAGAGAGAAGGGGTATCTGATTTTTCAAAAATTTTGGCAGCATTTCGTTACCCCCATGGGGTCGAAGTGTGTCGAAAACGAAGTGTGCCGAAAAAAGACTAAGTAAGAGAAAATCAAAATATTTCGGCAGCACTTCGTTACCCCCACGGGGTCAAAACATGTGCCGAAAGCAAGAAAGACTAACACCTAATCAGATTTAGGGTTGCCGTAAAGAAAATCGAATTTTCAGAATAAATAGACAAATAAATGAAGTAAATCAGAAAATGAGAAAAGGAAGTGGGGAAGGAGATAATTCGAATTTTTGGAAAAAAGAGAAAAGCTAAATCAAAAGAGAGGTGAAAAGAAGAAAAACAGAAAAAATTCGAAGTAGCGGGGAGGGGGAATGAAAAAGTGAAGGAGAAAAGAAAGAAATAGGTGGGAGAGAGAAAAAGATGAAGTGGGAGGTAGGGGGGGGGKGTGGTGGTAGTTGGGGGAGAGGAGGGTGAGAGAATGATAGAGAGAGGGATGGGGAATGGTGGAGAGGGATCAAGAAGCAGAGAGAAAAGGAGGAGGAAAGAAAAGAAAATAAATAAAGAAACGAGAGTAAAAGAATGGATGGTGGGAGAAAAGGTGGGGTGGGGAGAGGGGTATGAGTAAGAGGAGAGAGAGAGAGAGATATGGAGGGTGGGTTAGTAGAGGGAGGGAAGAGAGAGAAGAGATACCTGGCCCTTGGTGTCTCCAAGGGCACAAGGTATACCAAGACCAGGAGGGTCTTGGCCTTCGCTGCAGCAGCCAGCTGGAGGAGAGAGGGGGCTGAGATCTTGATCAGCCCCCAGCAGCAGCACTTCTGCAGATCTGCAGATCTAGGGTCTGCTGTGTGAGTAGACCCTCACCACTGTAGAGCAGCCCCCTAAGCAGGGTGGTCTAGAGTTCCACCACGAGCTGCCACGTGGCAGCAGAGATGGCCACGTGCACGGGCAACAACAGCCAACGGGTGGGGGGGGGAAATAGCAGC